GATCAGTTGCAGATCGGACTATTATGATCCATAGAGTTTGTAGTGGATGAATTTTCGAAAGTAGATCACCAGGCCTTTCATCTGGGGTGCTTCTGGGTGGACTCAACATTTCAACCTTTTGGTTAGCAGCCAAGTGTGTATGGTTTGAACCACCAGGGGCCTTAGTATACTCTTTCCAAAATTCCTTAATGGATCCCATTGGCTTCATGATGAAATCCATAATGTCTTAACTTGTCTAGGAAAGCCCATCATAATCTGAATCCGGCTTCTGCTCTGCCAGTCTCACCACAGCCCCTTCATTTGCTTATACTGATTAATTGGCCTTTCCACAGCTCTGTGATTTCCTCATCTTAAAATATGCTCCATTCCACTCCAACCAACTTAACTCAGTAGGTCATTGCCTACATTCATTCTTTCCATATACTGGCCCCACTAATGTCTACTTGTTTATCATCCCTGCATTGAACTTTGTGTATATATTTTCAGAACAGCTGTTTACTTTATTGAATTTATTTGTTCACATATTAATCCCATACTGAACTGTAAGTTCTATAAAGTCAGGGAGGTGATTAAATTGCCTTAGAATTACAGGCACATAACACAATGCCTGGTACAGAGTAGGCACTCCAAATATTTGTCAAGTGAATGAATAAATGTGAGTTAGTCATTTCAATAAAACATGAGAAATTTTCTGATTGAGGTTTGGAAGAAGGCTGCACCAATCCAATAATTCCTTTTGAATTACTGCTAATGTCAGCTGTGGTAATTTGCACATAAAAGCAATTGGAGTAAGGTAGAAAAAATATTGGACTTGTGCTTGGGAACATTAGACCTAGGTTAAAAATCTGGTTTCTACTAATAACATAGGTGGTCTGGCAATGTAGTGCCTAAGGCACTTGACTGCTAACCAGAAGGCTGGCGGTTCAAACCCACCAGCCACTCCTTGGAAGGACATTTGGGCAATCTACTTCCGTAGTGATACTGCCTTGGAAACCCAATGAGGGGTCACTATGAGTTGGGTCTGACTCAATGGCACCTAACAAAAACAACAACTAATAATATGGGAAATATACAAGCAAACCAAAACAAAAGCCTAGTTTTGATCAGCTGGATGGATGACCCTTACCTTGAAAAAAACTATAGGTAATTCTCTGGAGGAAGTAAAACAGAGGGCCTCTGGATTGGGAGGACAAAGCACAATTGAGGGCAGGACTGCCATAATGAAACAAGGGAATTTCATGAATATTTACATACCTCATGTTGAGTCCTCAGTCCTCATCTCCTACTCACTTCCTAGAGTTCTCGTTGTCAGACTTACATGCTTCAGCAAGGAGACTAGAGGAGTCACCCATGAAGAATCAGACCAATTCAAAGAAATAGGACCTTAAAATGCTGATGTCAGGGGTTCCTCGGTTGAGCAGCTCAGACAGATCAGCCATCAATAAAACTCTAAGTCTGTGCATCGACCCCACCCCTATACAGAGAAATTCTATTCAGATACATATCACTCCATTGCTCGGTAGGGAGAAGACAGTTGAGGATCACCTGAAGACTGAGGAAAGCTACTAAGACAGATACCAAAACAAACAGGAACAGGTAACTTGAAGGAAGCAGCAATTATGCATGGAGGGGAAAAAAAAGTTGGAAATAAAATATATTAATATCCTCGAAAAGATAAAAGAAGATACTATAATCATAATATATAACCAAGATATTATATAAAGAGTATTCAGAGAATTCTGAGGAGTTGTGAAACATGGTATCAGAAATGAAAAATTGAATGTTTGGAAAATAATGTTAAGAAAATCTCCCAAAAATAGTGCAAAAAGGCAGACATAAAATAAGAAAATAGTAGGTTTGAAAATTAGAGGACAAAACAGGAGATCTAACATCCAAATAACAGGAGTCCTAGAATGAACAGAGGAAACATAGAACTCTCAATGAAAAAATTCCTTGAAATGAAGGGCATGAGTTCCTTGATTGAAAGAATCTACCAACTGCACAGCACAATGATTGAGAAATAGACCCATATCAAGGTGTAGCATCATGAAATTTCAGAAAAATGAGCACAAAGAGAAGATTCACAGAGTTGCTAGGAAGAAAAAACACGTGCCAAAAAAAAAAAAAAAAACCCACCAAGTTCTATACAAGGAATCAGAAATAGAATGGCAGCAGACTTTTCTATGGCAACCAGAAGACAATGGTGCAGTGACTTTACAGTTCTGAGGAAAAATTATTTTCAATATAGAATTTGTGATTCAGCCAAACCTCTACTCTAGTAGAGTAAAATATGTGTATTTTCAACCTGCAATCACTTGAACAATTTACTTTCCAGATACTCTTTCTCAAGAAGCTATTGGAGTAGCCCCTAGTTACCCTTCAGGTCTGGAACTGAACTCACTCCTATGGCTATGATAAACAGGCATATGAGGTGAACATTTACATCAAGTAGATACATTCCTTAGAGCAATCAATCGTGGAAGAACAGAAGGGCAATGTTTGCACAGGGGGACAGCTTGGGGGGGTGATAGGAGTACATGGGAGGGAAAGATGGAGGGAAAAGGGAACTACAGAGAGGAAGTCAGAAGAAAGCTGTTACTTTGTGGGGAATTGCAGTCAATGTCAAGGAACAAAATGTGTATGAACTGCTGTATAGAAAATGAATTTGCTCTGTAAACTTTTACCCAAATCACCACAAAAATTAAAAAGGAAAATAAACTACTGGAGATATGTTCCACCAAATAAGGCAGTAAATGAAATAAATAAATAAATACCGTTGGGATAAAGAAAATAAGTGATCCAACACAGAGTGGGTGAAGAAATCTCTAATATGATAAACCAAAACCAAAACCAAACCTACTGCCATTAAGTTGATTCAGATCCATAGTGACCCTATGGGACAGAGTAGAACTGCCCCATAGGGCAAGACAAACAAAATATTAATTCCAGACAAGCAAAACATTTCACAAGAAAGGAAAAGTTATCACAGGATATTATTATACAACTCAGCTGTGACTAGAGTTTACATAGTTATAATAATGTAAACCTTAAATTTTGCTCTAATCAAAATTTGAAATTATCTATATTAGGGAGATGAAGGGACAATAAGTATGTGTGGTGGGGATCATGAAAGAACAAAATCCTCCTTGTCCATATTAGGAAATCAACATATGATGCCTAAAATTAAAGAATATGAAAAGCAGCAATATAAGCATGTGGCTATATGTTGTAAATATTATATTACCAGCCAAAAGAAGTGAAAATGACAGCATCTGTTGGGTGAAATGAAAGCAGATGGGAGCCCCATGTATTTGGTTACATGCCTTGTAGAACTATTTAACTCTTTAAAATAATTCATGTTTAACTTTGAAAAAATTAATACCACAACATAAACAAACAAACAAAAAGCAATAAACAGAAAAAGCAATCCTCCCCAACTGAAAAAACCTCTGTATTCTTCCACTTGCTATTCAAACCAAAAGGTCGATGGTTCGAATCCACAGCTCTCCATGGGCAAAAAATGAGGCAATCTGCTTCGGTAAAGATTTGCAGCCTTGGAAACCCTATGGGGAAGTTCTAGTCTGTCCTATAGGGGTCACTATGAGTTGGAATAAACTTGGTAGCAATGGGTTTTGGTTTGGTATTCAAATCAAACTTTTCTAATATTTAATTTCCTCATCTGTATTGTTGTTGTTGTTATGTCAAGTTGTCTCCTACTCACAAAGGCCTTAGGTACAACAGAACGAAACACTGCCCAGTCTTGTGTCAGCCTCACGACCTCTATTACACCTGAGCCATCGGTGCAGCCACCGTGTCAATCCATCTTGTTGAGGGCCTTCCCTTCTTTCGTTGACCCTCCACTTTACCAAGGATGACATCCTTCTCCAGATAATGATCCCTTCTGACAACATGACCAAAGTAAGTGAGATGTAGTCTGGTCATTCTCACTCCCAAGGAGCATTCCGGCTGCATTTCTTCCAGGACAGATTTGTTAGTTCTTTTAGCAGTCCACAGTACCTTCAGCTTTCTACACCAGAACTCAAAAACATCAACTCCTCTTCTGTCTTCCTTGTTCATTGTCCAGCTCTCACATGCATAAGAGGCGATTGAAAATACCATGGCTTGGGTTAGGCGCATCTTAGTCTTCAAGGAGATATCTTTGATCTTCAGTACTTGAACAAGATCTTTTGCAACAGATTTGCTCATTGCAATACATCTTTTGATGTCTTGACTGCTGCTTCCATTGGCTTTGATTGTAGAACCAAGTAATATGAAATCTTTTACAACTTCATTCTTTTCTCCATCTATCGTGATGGATGTCCTTATCTATCCTCATCTGTACAATTAGTTTATTATATAGATTGAAATAGATTGTGAATTAAATTCAAAGTAGTTGGGAACTACAAGACTTGTTAGCTAATAATAATAGTAACAATAACAGTAATAATTTAGAATCCAAAGGATAAAGAATTCTTAACGTTTATTTACTCATTCACCTTCTGTGTGTAAGGGGGCACGACAGGGGTAATACAGAGGGCAAAACAGCGACTGGACATTGAACTCACTTGTCCAGTATCTGCCCTCATCCCTGCTTTTTCTGTCCAGTTTATCTTGCCTTCGGGCTTTGGGGCAGGACTTTTCTGGGTTCAAATTCCAAGCTGTGCTGCTGACTAGCCGTGTGGCTTCCGGCAATTTGCTTAGTCTTTCTGACTCTCAGTTTCCCTATGTAACAAGAAATTCTCGCCTGCGTACTTGCTGTGAGAAGGAAATGAGAAATGGGTGGAAAGTCCTTTGCTTTGACCAGTTACTAGCTGATCTTTGCTCCCTAACTTCCCCGTCTTCCTTGCGGTGGCAGACACCTGGGGCCTTGGAGAAGAAGCCAATCGAGCACCGCTGGGGCGGGGATATTCCTCAGTCGCTATAGCAACCGGAGACGCCTAGTTTTTCAGAGCTGTGGGCTACGGAGCAGAGTAGGCCAACAGCCCGCGGACCCCGACGGCATGAGGAGGGCGGAGGCAGTGATGGTGACAGCGACAGCGGCACCTGAGGCGGGCCGCGAGGGGGAGCAGCCTCGGCAGCCAGCTGGGCTAGTGTGCGGGGTGCGCGGGGAGCCTGGCAGCGACAGCAAACAGTGTGAGTTCAGCATCCCCCGCGGATTCTGCGGGGAGAGGGGATTGCGTGGTGACCGAGTGAAGGGGGACTGGGAAGCTAGAGTGGAACTGACTGAAGTCCCGAAGGTTTTCTAGGGAGTGGGGTGGGAGTGGCGTTGCTGTTTTGGCAAAGACAGCGGTGAAGGCTCTATGTATGGCAGAAAACATTCCCGTTCATTTCCCAATCCCGCCTTCACCTACAAGCCACCCGAGCCTGGGGTTGGACGGTCACCGCCGCCTTAACCGTTAGTGGCATTGGCTTGGAAGGGATTTTTTTTTTTTTTTTAAATATTTAAATGGTTACACACTTACTTAAGTGTGAGTGTTGGCAAAATGATCTTCATGTTTCAAGGCTGGTGGAATAATAGATATGGACATAGATTTGAACATCCAGATCACTTGCCAGTTTCTTCATTTTACAGATCAAGACACTGAGAAATAGATATATCTAGGTCACTCAGGGAGCTCTGGGAGCTAGTGCCTAAGGCACTTGACTACTAACCAGAAGGCTGGAGGTTCAAACCCACCAGCCACTCCTCAGAAGGAAGATGGGGCAATCTACTTCCGTAGTGATACTGCCTTGGAAACCCAAGGAGGGGTCGCTATGAGTCGGGTCCGACTCCACGGCACATAACAACAGCAACTGGGTCACTTAGTCTGTGTTGGAAAAATACTGAAAATACTTAAACTCTCATCTCAGTTCATAATTACCTGATTCCTTTAGAACATCACATCTATGGGCAATATTTTAACACACACACACACACTTAAAGCAGTTCTGGTCCACAGTCACAACCGACATGGTTGCAAATTGAGTCTGCATCCTATCACAGCTCTCAGTCATACTGTTTCAGGAATTTACAAACATTTCACAGCTCTTTGTCCCACAAGTCTTCAGTAGGTGCTAAGGAATGATGTTGGTGAAAATAACAGGCCAATAAGGAATGTGAGCGGTTTCTAGCGCCTCCTTGATTACCTCCCTAGAGGGGAACCTGGGGTTCTCCCTGCGAGCCACCAGCCCCAGGAGAGAGGGCTAAGCTGAGCCACTAAGCTTCCAGGTTGGGAAGCCCACAGCATAGGCCTTCCTTCCCAAAACCCCGTCAAGGAGCCGCAGAACCTCTGCTTCCCGGAGAAAGGGACTTCTTCCTTCAGCATCAGAGCCGATATGACTGGTTATGATAACTGATTTCTTTTATCATCATCATCATCACCAAAAACAGCACCCAAAGACTTTCTT